CCCAGAGCACACCCAGAGCTCACACAGAGCCGGCCCGGCCCGCCTCCCGCCGCCCCGGCTCCTCACGCGGGGCTCGCAGTGCCTGGCGCCGCGCGGGGCGCCGCCGCCGCCCGCCCGCCGCTCCCGGCCCGGCGCGAACAGCGAATCCTCGAACTGCGGGCCCAGCGCCGGCTCCATCGCCGCTCCCGCTCCGCGCTGGGGGCGGAGCTCGGTCACCGCTCACCCCAAGGGAAGCGCTGCCAGAAACGAGCCGAGCTGCAGTCCCGTGCCTCGATAAATTTACTGCGTAATTGTGTGGGGGTGCCGTGTTAGCGTCTCGTCCTAGTGGCTGTGCATAGGGTGAGTGGGAATGTGTTTTGGTAACTTTTTCATTTAGTTTCACTTCTGCCTCAAAGCAGAAGATGTGAACCTGCTCTAGGTGACCCTGCCTTGTCAGGGGGTTGGACTAGATGATTTCCAGAGGTCCCTTCCAACCCTAAAAATCCTGTGATTCTGTGAAATTTCAGGCTTGCACCGACAGGCTTTCCCAGAAGACCGTACACTGTGCTATGGAAAACGGGGACATAGCAAAGTGAACGCTCATCCTAGACCTCCCTCAGGGTGTCAATACTCAGACACTGGCTGCTCATTGAGAGCAATACATGCCCCGGCTGCCTGCCCTTCCTCATGGTACTACTGTGCACAGTGTGCTGTGTTTTAAGGGTACTGCTGTGCTGTTTCCTCTCTCCAGTCCGTCCATCCAGGAAGGTTCATTTTGTCCCATCTAATCACCACTCAGGTTTGGAGAAGGCGAGCTGGAAAGTACTTCCTTAGCCTGCAAAATGGACCAATTAATTTGTCTATACCAAAACACCTTTTGGGGCCAAAGTAGTGCTTGTATAGGTGACTTTAAAGGTTTCCTTCTAGAAGACATATAAAACATGGTTTACTTTTGTTCATTTTTTTTTTTTAATTGTGCTTAAAATATTCTTCCATACCAGCGGAGCTGTGACTGGATGTAGGATGACCTTGCATAAATGCCAGGGTAGAAACTCAACTTTGGTAGTTGGATTTGATCAGAAGAATAAAAGCAGATTGATGTTTCTTTTGTTGTAAACTTGCTGTTTGGCAAACAAGCCCTCAAGCACAGAGGAAACTGTTCAGCAATTAAGTCTGGAGGGAATCAGGAGTTTACTTGACATGCTTCAGTCTTCCTGTTAAAAGTATCAAGGTGGGTGAGGACAGTCGCTTGTATTTGCACATCAAAACCATCTGGGCTTCCTCCTGCCTGCAGAGAGGCAGGCAAAGCACATGGGGATCACACTGTGGAGGCTGGCACAAGAGTCTGAACAGTTTCAGCACTTGTAGTGCCCCTCACACCTTCCCTTTCCCCCTATTCCAGGACTGCAGGTCATGCTGCAACACACCGGTCTGATGAACAAAAAAAAAAAAAACAAAAAAAAAAAAAAAAAAAAAAAAAAAAAAAAAAAAAAATTAAAAAAAAAAAAAGAGAACATAAAGAACATGAGTAATCAAAGTGAAATGTGGCCACAGCTCAAAGGAAAACACAAAAAGCAAGGCATTCCCAGGGGCAAATCCCACAGCAGCTGGTTGGCTGCCAGCTTGGATTGCAGAGTCCTCCAGGGCTGGGGGTTTTGACCATCGTTTCTTCTGAGTATACCAATGTGGTCTACAAAAGGCTCCGTGTTGCAATGCAGAGAATGCCTTTGTTTCTTTGTTTGGCAAATCAGTGATAAGAGAGCCACGATTCCCGATTCCGAGTGCCACACAGGGGGCCTAGCAGCTGACTTGTAGTTTCAGTAAGTCATGGACAAAGTATTGCCTCTCTTTCATTTCTTTTTTGCTTGGCTCTCCCCTGCCCCTGCCTCCCCTCAAGACTTTAAAAAGCTCCTCATATATTAGTTACAGAAATGAAAAAATGCAGCTTTAAGAAATCCCTCTGTCTTGTCAGCACTGGAGGTTTGCTCAATTTCTCCCCCAGGATCCAAGTCATCAGTGTAGCTGCCAGAATAGAAATTCTCACTGTACTTAAGTAAAGCTGTTTGCCCACGTTTGTATGGCATGATTTGCCTTGATGCTGTTAGCCTTGGCTTCACATAGGAGAAAACATCATCCCTGGAAGAGGCAGCTTTGAGAAAGCTCAGATATACGAGCCCTACAAGAACTCGTGCTGCTGCAGCTGCTCTGTGTAGGCAGCTTCAGGGATAAAAAGAAGCTATAGATGAATCTCTCCCTAAAGGCAGCCACGGGCTTACTCCACTGCCAGCCACCAGCTCAGCACATGAAGAGTGGGCCAATGAAAGTGGGCTCCAGTAAGTTGTGGCCTCCAAGCAAGTTCTGTGCATCAGCAAAGCCATTGTGGCTGCTCGCAGAGCGTGGCAGTGGTGAGGGGCTGTGACCCAGCTTCGCCCTGGGTGAGTGGGGGCACACTGGGTAGGCCAGTGTGCTTCATCTTGCAGTCAGGGTGCCCAGAGACAGCTCAGTTGTGTTGTGAACACAATTCCAGCAACAGGCAGGGTTTTTCCATGCTGTCCTATTGCCTGAATCTTCTGGCCAGGAAAAGAAAATGCAGCATGGAAGACAGAGTTTGTCTAATGCCCTTTGTCTCCCCGTTTCCCTGTCTACTCTGAGGCAAAATTGATTCATAAGAATCCTCCTCCAGTGTTTCTTTAATTACTGATGTTGTTATTTGTATTGTGATAGCCTCCATGGGTCCTAGCCACATGGTTTTTATGCCAGCACAGACATGCCACAAAGGCTTCAGAGACCATCAAGCACACACAGCAGAAACAAGAAACCTCAGTTGGCAACTAGGGCCCTATCCTGGTAGGCACTACCCACACACATTGGCCAGGAGTAATGCAGCTCACAGGGCTTTATTAAAATATACTGGAAAGCAGCTGCCTTTGGAAGAAAGCAGAAGAGAGAGTAGTTCTCACAGCAAAAGAGCTGCCTGTAATGAGGAGGCCAAATAAGGCCCACAGGCAGCATTCCTCAAAGGATGGGGTGGCTCCTGAATTAAGTGGATTCTTCCAGACATTGTGAAATATTCATATCTTGAGGGAAGATTAGTTTTCTTGTTGGATAGTCATAACATATGCTCTTCCCTAAACACATTTATGAAAGGAGAAGAGCAGCTCTTTATTTGCTGACATTGTCTCACTGTGTCCTTGTCTCTTACCTTTTATTTAGATTAAAAGGTCTTTACAGCAGAAACCATCTTTCATCTTCTTTGCATGATGTCACACATAAGGGGATATTGTCCATGACTACTGGGAGGGTAATACAAATAAAATTTCACGGTTTGAGGCAGACAGAGGTTATCACTACTACAAACTGCAAACAAACAAAAAAAAGCTCTGATGAGCTCAGATGAACTCTAGCATAACTTACAATGATGGCAGTAAGTTCTAGTTCTAGTTAGATACAACAAAAATTGAGTTGGGAGGTGAGGGGAACATTGCGAAAATCAAAGAGAGTGAAGTGTTCATTGTTAAAAGAAGTCAAAAGATTCTTAGGGGTTCTTAGGACAGACAGGAGAAGATGCATCCCCCAAAAGAGGGTTCATTTGCCTTCTCTACATTAATACAGTGCAACCTTTCAAGCCTCTGGCAAGACATATTAACTAGGCCATAATCCCTCTCCCTCAGGCCTCACAAAACCCAATAAAGTTGTTATTGCCAAAAGGGTGCACTGCACACAGATGTGTTCAGCTATTAATGGGTTTTGCAATTATTTTCTGTCTAGTAGGATAAATGATGAGCAGAATGAGTACACCCTTGAGTTTGACCAGAAAGCTGTTGAAAAGAAAAGAGCAAAAAAGCTTTCTGGAAAGATAGAAGGAAGAAAGTGATCAAGTGCTAGAAAGAATCCCAAAGCAGTGAACTTCCCAGGCAAGATTACACATCTGCAGTACTGATATGATCTTGTGTCTGAACTGCTTCACTCAGCTATGGAGTACAAGCACTGAGGTTGTACCTTGATGGTCTGTGAATACAAAAGTCATGGCAAAGGGTGGCATTGCCAATCTACTGCTCTAGTTGGAAAAACAGCCAACAGAGTCCCAGGGTTGGGCATGGTGAGGTTTGTATGCCTCCTTCTACACCGTTTTTTCAGTTTTATCCGTGTTTCTGAAAACTCATTAACTTGCCCTGACTACTGCTATGCTTGTTGCTTAAGTGCTACTTATGATGAAACCAGGCCACAGAGACCACAGTGGATTTGTTACCTCTCTGGGTTAAAACTTTCCTACTGCAGTTCTCAGGACTGGGCAAGACCAAGCAACACTGGTGGCAACTCCTCTAGGACTCCATTTAAGACCTTTTTTGTAACACTGAATAAACTGAGCTGACTTACTACAACATCTCTCTCTAGCAAGAACAAAGAGAAACAAATCAAAAGAATTAGGAAAAAAATAAGCTACACTTAAGAAATACACTCAGGGCTTCAGACCTGCCCTTCAATGACCCTCGCAACTCACAGGTTTTTTCAGGCCTTGCTCTGTTTTTCCATATGGAGGCTGCCTCCACATGGGAAACAACCAAACTGTTGATTCTGCAGTGCCTCGTTTCCCATACAGCTTTTGCACTGCTGGAGAGGACTAGTGGAAACTGCTATTAAATTCAGCTTCTGTCTTCTTACTGCCTTATACAACTAGCAGTGCCTGAAGGAAGTGAGTCACAGCAGAGGGAAAGCACTGCTCAATGAACACATGCAAACAAAATGCAGAAATCCAGGATGGACTTTGCCCACAATTGCTCTCTTCCCCCAATAATTGCACGTGACATGCATTTAGAGCAAAGAAAACTGTAAAACTTGCATCAGTGATGCAGTTTTTAACACTGTGGTATCTCTAGGAAAAATTATGAACCCCTTCCTTAACAGGGTGTCTGTGGGGCTCCAGTTCTGCATGTTGTGGGTGCCCAGAAATTGCACAGAAATTCTTGCAGCTGGACTTCATCTGGAGGCTCTGGCCTCTGCTGGAAACTCCAGAACTGAGAGCAGTTACAATTGCAATACTATTTGTACCATCTCTGGTTCAGAACACGTCATTATTACAGGCTATTTTGTGGGTTGTCTTCCTTGTTATTCCCTTTAGACAGGCTTTGCTGAAGTTATGGTTTTTCCTCTTTGGCTCTCATTTAGGAAAACTGAAGATCACTAAGAGGAGAATTACTGCCAACACTGACCTTATTTTCACCCAAAGACACAAATCAACTACGTGTGACACACACTTTCGTTCCCTTTTTCCATATTTTCTTTCTTCTACCAAATATTTTAAGATAATGAAGATCAGCTCAGCACTGAACCTGTGAAGAAACACACATGGGAGAGAAATTAGTCATAACGCTAGCAGTTCCAATAATAGCAGTAGAAACATATATTCAGGTATTTCATTTTACAGTATTTGAAGTGCAACAAGTCATTTAACCACCAAAAAATGTTAGAAACCACCATCTATCTGAGACTAGGGACCTCCACCAGCAGTATTTCAAAGCAATACCAAGCCCATAGGGAACAATTTATGGAGGGGACTTTCTGGCATACAAAGGAAAAAAGGCAGTACACAAAGTAGCTTGGTATTTTAAATTTGCAAAAATATTAGTTGATAGTATTGTTGTGGAAACAAATGTAAGCTGAAACATGCTGGGAAGAAGGGGCTTGGAAAGGGGAAACAATTCACAAGGCCAGCTGATCTCTTGTGAAAGTGTCTACTGAATTGCAGCATTTTGGAATTGCTGGTAACACTGTAAACAAAAGATACCTCTAGGAAAAGGTGACTGCATGCATAATCTGGTGCTTCTTCTAACTCCCGCATTAGCTAATGGATTCTTGAAAAAGCTAATTTTTACCCAAACAAGTAAAACTATTTGGCCAAACACCAAGCTGTGGTGCCAAGTCGTGCTCATCTCTGGTCCTGTGCTTAGGTCACTACTTCAGCCAGGGATGTCATTTTTCAGACCGACATTAACTACAGCACAGGACTCTCTCGCTTTAAACATCTTTTTCTTTGCTGGGGATACATGTGCGAGCACAATGCCAGGTCCTGCAAGAGAATCTCAGACTCGAGTTGCTCCAGTTGCAGCTCAGCCGCTGGAACAGACGGGCGCGATGAATCACAGCAAAGCCAGGCAGCGGCGCTGCCTCCGGCGGGGAGGAGCTCCCGGGAGGAGGACAGAGCTCAACAGCAGCTCTTTCCTCAGACCCCTCATCTCAGGAAAAGACACCGGCTACAGCAGCCTGTCCAACTGACAGCCTTCAGTAAGGAGGTGGTTCCTACCCACCCCTACTCTTCCCACCCTGAATATTTTAAATTCCATTTAAAAAAGCATCTGCCCTAATGAGAAAAACCACGTGAACGTGCCAGGGCGGCTGACACGGCAGAACGAGCAACGAGCAGCTGCACTGACTCACGCGTGGAGCTGACCTCACGCCGGCTGTTCCGCCAAGGCAGTTCTCCAAATTCAGTGCATCGCAGGAATTGGTGAAACTCCGTTTTTGTGTAACAGGGAAAATGATATTTGAGAAGGTCTGATTTGTGACATTTTCATACAGACATGATTCTTGGTTTCCACACCACCTCTTAAAACCACACACACTCAGTAAGGAGACATTTATTCCATTATTTCTGTTTTCAAATTTTTGGTACAAAGTTTATTTTCAGAAGTTCTCACATGATCCTTTCTTCTACCAGCGTCTTTAGGATTTTTCTATCTCTGATTTATTTTCTTTATCTGTTGAAGCAGAAGCAATAATTGCTACAGAAAGAAATAATGGCAATATTACAAATATTTTACAGCAGCATCCATTCGTTTCTTTGCCTCAAAAAAATAACAAAAATAAATCCAAAGACAAGATCCATACAGCCACAAAGGCTTAGGTTTGTAATATCCAGAAGTATGCTGCGTTCCCATACATGAGTTGTACAAGTCCAGCACAACTTTCCAAGTTTGTGCAGAGCCTGATAAATAAGACACAGATATATCAGTTACATTATACTGTTTCTAAGAACTTTTACTCTGTAAAATGTTTGGTCACTCAAAGCTATAAGCTTAATCACATATCAAAGAACACAGGCAATACAGCCCATCTTACTAAAACATATAGTATTAGGCCAAACAAAATATAAGAGGACAAAATCTAGTGGTCACTGAAGCCTCTTCAAAAAAGGTTTAAAACTGAATGTTTCCATCATGTATCAGAATAAAAACGTACTGTATTAAAATTTGATTTTTTTTTTTTACAAGCTGTCTTCTAATCAGTCTTCTATTTACAGTGCAGAACTGCCAACTGCAGTCGTTTAGCTTTGGCACAACACTAAGTTCCAATCCTTTTCAGTATTCAAGTCCTGTGTGTGTCCAAAAATTTTCTTGGTTTCACGAAAGATTAGGCCCATTCACAGTTAACCAGTTATCTTGAAATTTTTCAAGAATTGCTTCCCCTTCACCACGCTGGGCAGCTACAAAGGAAACACATTGTAAGGTATTGCATCATTCAAAAGAAACTCTTCATTCTAAACAGTGACAGTATTGTTGCTTCCTTTAATATCACGTACACCAGACAGATCACACAGACAGCTACATACTGGACACCTTTCTAAAAACCTTGCTGGTCGTTAGTGAATCATCTTCCTCATACTTCAAATACAAACAATGCATTAACTTATTTTCATTTCACATGTCAAACAGGACATTTAAATATATTGCAATATATTATAGAAAATTGCAAAGCGCCATCATTTCTGTAAACGAGACTGACACCTGTTAACTCTCCTGTGCACATGAAGAGCAGTACCTAGTGCCACATTTTCTATACAATATAAAGCCTTCCCAGGTAGGGCAACTCGTTTTAGTGCATTTCTGTACAGACTCTAAGCATACATGCAGATAGCCAACTATGCAGGGCTGGAAATACTTTTGTAAGCTGAAACTGGAAGATGGGGGAACATTCTGATATCACAGCAGAGCTCTTGTAGTTGATCATTTCATACACAGATGAGGACTTGACTCTTCTGTCATTCTAGCAGACTCTTTGGGGACACTTTCATGATAGGTATCTAGTACTGAATAAGCGGAAGGAAACACTTTCATCAACCGGGACACAAATATTATGTGTCCTAACACATTCTAGGTTATGCAGAGTCCAATGTTCACACAGTAACCTTATCTCTAAAATACTTGAGTGTTGTATTGTGTTTTTATATTTTGGTAACAGTTCTGTAATGGTTTGCCCCTCCACCCCCATTTTCTCCCAATGTTTCCATGCCGAGTTTTCCCGCGGTTCCCTCAGTGCCAATCTCCCTGACAATGCTCAGACACTTCATCCTCCCTCCCTTCTTCCCAAATCTTCTACCCTGGGCCTCGAGGGATTGGATGAGGGCCCGGGGTCCCTCCCTTAAGTTTCCCCATTGGTTTTTGTATCTGTCTGTCCTTTCACCTTTCTCTCCCCCAAATTCCTCCATTGGTCAATAGGCGTTCCCTTCCCCTTGTTACCGCCCCGGTATTTAAGATGTTGGAAAAGCCTCACAGCCACTTTTGGCTGCTGGATTTTCTGTAGCTGTGAGCTCCTCGGAGTCTGGATTAAAACCGAAACTCTTTTCCCAGCCTTGAGTCGACTCCCTTACACCTCCTCGGACGCCGCCTCTCCCCCAGACAAGGCAGGCAGTGTGACTTTCTGCCTCAGCACCCCTGACCCTCCTCGGGATCCAGGGGAGATCCAGGGCAGTGACCCCGCAGCTGAAGGTGACTCTGCCGGGCAGGGGAAGCCAGGGGGCTTCACATTAGCACAGCGGCACCTGAGAAAACCCAAAGCATTTTTCTGCCACAGTATTATGACCAAGGATCAGTTACTTTATCCATCACTATAGTGCTACCTGCTCTAAATAAAAGAAAAAAAAAAAAAGGCCTCAGTTCCCAACAAGCATCAGGTTGGAAGCAGAGGTCAGTACCACTGCTAAGCACAACACAAAGATTTCTCTGCAATGCCAGATGTCTGCAGTGTCAGCGGCTGCTCACAAGTCAGGGTAAGTCAGTGGAGCTGGGGTGCAGTTCCTCAGCGACTCCAGGCATGCAGGATGAGCAGTCTGCACTCCTTGCTGTCCTGACTACCTACAGTGCCTTGTTCCAGTGCAGACATCAACATGCATCAGACAAATCCCACCTTAATTCATGAAAAGTGCTACCGAATGCTCAGTTATCCCTCTACATTTTATAATGTTGTGTGAGTTGGTTTTGCAACAACTGTTTACTGAAAAGGTGCAGATGCTCTTCACCACAGAAGGAGAAAAATCCCCAAGAACTCCAACCATTAAACCTGGAAATACTGGCTATAACCCACCTGTGCTTCAAAAGATCCCTTCTTAGAAGTGGGGAAAAAATGCAGAAATTTGAGTTATCGTGTGTTAGTAGCCATTAAGGGGATTTTTCACTTTCTGTTGAAATTCTTATTTCAAAATATTTTCCTAAAGAATTTTAATACATCAGCAAACCTCAAGTAACTTGACCTGCTAAGTTTGTGTCATGCTTCTTGGTAAATCTACTGATCTTAAGATATCACAAACTGGATGGAGAATACAGACTTAACCCAGCACTGTTTAGTGTAGGGAACTGAATACTCTACTAGCCCTTTCCATCTTTAATTTACACCATCATCCCAGGTACTATAAATAATTCTTAAAGTTCTACTCTTCTCTGGTCATTGACACTATCTCTCTATTACTACTTAATGCAAGCAAAATTGTTTCCAAAGCAAAAAATAAATTAAATAGCTATATTTAATTCCACTCTTGCTTTTGTGCCTTCATGTTAGGGCAGGGATATTTAACACTACAGAAGCTTAAAGATTATCTTCTCTCCTTGGGAGATATGAATATAGACAGGTATTGGACTCAGGTGGAGGATGCAAATTGGCACTGCCATATTTACAGAAGCAAACACTGCCATCCAGCCTGAATACACAGTACTCCATTAAGTGCAAAAGGGAAAACACTCCCCACCTTAAACCACAGCCTGGTTACTCAGCAGCAAGAGATCAACTGTCAGAATTACTGCTGTGCTCTCACTTCAGAGGAAAACAGAGGAGAATGTCTGCATCTTTGGGCTTTCTGGCCTATGGGGACCATGTACAGCCATGAAGCACTTTGTATGGGATCCAGAAACCCTTTCTTTGCTCTGTAGAGGGGAAGGGAGTGCATTTGCCTGCCTCAAGCATTTCTTGGAGAGAAAATCTGCTTTTGTTCAAATAATCCATTATAAAATTATTTCATGTCATGTATGGACACTGCGTGAGTTTCCCAATAATCAAAGTTGCAATCAGTAACTTTGAATTATGAATTACAGCTCATAATGTAATGAAAAAGCAGTTTTCAACATGGTACCAGACAAGGTTAAAAAAGGCATGGCCTCACTTACTACAGTGTATTAGAGATAATACACTAAATTCTAATAATCAGGTACTAGGTATCTTTCCTCTTCTTTGTTTTCAGACAAATAAGAGATTTCTATGTGCTAAAAAGGAGTGACTGTAATAATTTACTCCTTCTGTCAGAACAGAAGGAGTTAAACTTGTTTTGTTTATCAACTTCTAGAAAAGTAAATTCTGCAGAGCAAGAAGTCAGAGCCTTCAAGCTTTTGCGTTTTCCCTTCTGTTCACTTCTTACAAGCCAGCACTGTTAGTTCCTTCAAACCTCCAGGGGAATATAAGCCTTTCTTTTTTCCAACACTAACTTTGGGGTCACTGAGAGGTGATACTGGGAAGACAGCAGTGTTTAAGATGGAACTGTGCTCTTTCACTGCACTCGGAAGTGAGGGTGGAACATGCCATGAAGCAGGACGACACTGTGATGGTGGATGTTGTCCCTGGTCCCCACTGCATTCTGTCTTTTAGCCCTTTTCCCTCTCCATTCTGGCACAGTATTATCTGTATTCTCTCTCTAGTTGAATTCCAGAGGCAGCACAACTGGCATCATGAGAGCAGGTAGTCCTGGCAGAAACAGTAAATGAAGAGAAATGCACTAGCTTAGCTCTAAAGGTGTTCAGATGTTCACAACTGAATTCTGATGTAGCGGTGCCAAAGAAGACTGAGAAACCAGCTACCCAGAGGTAAGATCTAAGCAAGTTTCTTTGTCACACTGTCAGTGACAATCACTGAAGCCTGGCTCATAATGAGCTCAAATCTAAGAGTTGAAGCTCCACAGAAATACAGAAAGCATACCACAGGTTCATATAGATACATTCCCTACCATGCAAGAAAATCAAGAAAGTCACATGGACACTCACTCCTGGGGAGATACATTTTCTTTCCCCTTCCTTTCCAACTGCCAGCATAACTCAGTCCAAATGGCTTCCAAAACACCTTGGAAACGTGCATAAGCTATAAAAGGGAGCCAGACTTGCAGGGGTGCACTGCTGATGAGCACAGAGGTGCTCAGAATCATAATACATTAAAACACTTGCTGATGTGCTTAAGTTCAGGGAGTTTCCAGGGATGGGTAGAACGAGAAGGTGCCATATCCTTCCCACCCCCCAGGCCACCTCTGTTTCTCTCAGTGACTGTACAGTGCCCACAGCAGCCTAAGGGTGGCTGAGATGAATCTGGGCTAAACCACTGTTACCAGCAGCTCTGAGTTCCCACCAGCCATGACCACAAATCAGAGGTACAACTGACCACAGCATCTTCCAGTGCTTCCTTGGTCACTTCTGACATGGGAGGCCCCTGGAAGGAGTTTGCCTCTCTCCCAGTGCAAATATACATACACATGCTGCACACTGGTAATTAATGGATTCTTCAAACAGAAATAACTGTCAGACTATGGGCAATAACGAATGCATACAACTTTTGTCTTCAGGTTGAACCCACCCAGAATTTCCTCATCCTTAGCACAACTGAAAGGCTTAAAATGTGCATGTAGCTCAACATGCTATGTGTAGATTCTGCATCTCTCATTAGCTGATTCACAGCACATTATTTAATTTCAATTTTATGTTCTGCAAAGAGATAATTTTCTCAATGAGCTGTAAATACTGGTATAACCAGTGGAATATGTGGAACTTTAGTATTTACAGTAACTGAAAATCTGGCCCAGTATGCGTCAGCCACTGTCTCTGACCATTCTACTGAAAGAAGACCTCCAATCCAACTATATTTAGACTGATAAACAATGTATTTCCTCTTCCTGTGTTTTTCAGACCAGATGTGCTAAGGCCTACCTTTGTAGCTGAGTATTATTTAATAGAACACTGCCAAAGTGGAAAATATCCCAGTTCAGTCACATAATTAACTTGGATCTTTGTATTTTCCCCCATTTTTTAAGGACAGAATTCTTAGCTAACCTAACTAAGGCTCTGGTAACAAAAATGGAGATATTTATTTGGACAAGCTGCTTGGTTGTTTTGGGGTTTTTTGGTTTTTTGGGTTTTTTTATTTTATTTTATTTTAAGAAAATTAATTCTGGGTCAACTTCAAGGATTAAGGCAACTCCAGATTTTGCTTGCTAGAGGCATATTCCCAAGGATTTGGTTTAATATTTTTGGAAACTTAAAAATAGCACATTTTCCTTCTAGCTTTGTTCTTTCCTACTCAGCAAGCACAGATTTTTGACCCTGTATTCCCAACAGAGCTTGGAAGCTAGTGTGAGTCTTTCTTTTATCTGCTAGGATCTACAACAGCACACTTACTATCATCCACACTACTGACACACAAATGAGAATCCCTCCCAGCCCCATGCTGAAAAGGCCAGATCTTGATCACTCTTGTACCACCTGATATGCAGAGTCATAAAAAAATCCCATGAAATATGGTGACAACATGGGGTTGCTTCTGCCCCACTCCAAAGTTAAAATGAGGGATTCTTGGCTATTCCTCTCTAGCAGTGCTGGCCACTTTGTGTCTCATGAACTTGAGCCTTGGAAGCGAGGGAATAGTTTCATCATCAAATTCATGACATATACCATAAGCTATTGCCTTTTTCTCCCCAATAATCTTAAAACAGTCAGAAGAGGTAACCTGGTATTCCTGTGAAACATCCTCCTGGAGCTCAGGGAGCTTATTCAATCTGTGAGCAGAAGGGCAGCTACAAGAGTCCAGAGAGGAAGGTCTGGGAGGGTAACTATGTTTTTTGTCAGACATTACTCCCTTTCTTACTGTAGCTTGGGCTTCACCCTCAGACAGATATGAAAACTAGATCCAACATGGACTCCTCTGCTTCAGAAAAACCAAGACTAAAAGGGCTTTTTTGGTTTTTTTGAGTTATCACAGTCCAGAAGAAAGACTAATTCTAAAATTCTAGCATAGGTTCTTGGAGTTGGGGAGACACTGGGTCCCACTTTCTCAGCACTAATCTGTCCTCATCAGTCATCAGATGCAGAAGCCTATAGAGAAGATGCTGTCGGATCAAAAAGCAAAAAGATACAAAAAGAGATTGCTAGTATCCATTAGTGCCAATGTAAAGGCAGACAATGCTGGTGACAGCAGCACCAATTCATCACCATCTTTTGACATCTAAATATAAAGTAACTTATTCCTAAAAATGCAGGCTGCCAGGAGCAAAAATATAAACTACTCTTCCTCAGAGTAACAGTTCTCTAGAATGCAAAACATCTGCCTAAACTAAGTTTGTGTGAATTTGGTCTATTGTTTTAAGTTGCTAATTCAAACTACACTATAACTTCACAGTATTGAGATGAAATAGCTTTTTAGAAAAATTATTTTATATACACTTATTTAAGATGGGAATGTTTTATATCAGATTGAACTACTTCTGGAGTTCAGTTCAGGTAGATCAACCCACCTCCAGAAATAAGTGTGTTCACCCAGCAGTCCTAGGAGCAATCAGCATAGTGGTGAGTTCAATTAGGATGTTTTACAGTTAAACCTGCACACAAATCACTCTACTGGGCTATCACTGAAGAACAATTCAACACTAACGTGTTTGTAATTGCTAAGCATCTAAAAGCCATATAACTTCATTTTTCTGTGAATTAAACACCATGTCATTGCCACAACTTACTTGAAAACCTTTCTTACTAGCACCAAAAGATGTTTTTCATCTCTGTATCTGTGTATTCTTACAAACCCCTAGACAACTCTGAACAACTCCCAGGCAGTTTTTGTCTTTTGTTAACCTTAAAACTCAGTGTCAGATTCAAAAAAATTACTTTTTTTGAAATACAGATACTCCTTTTACCATTTCCAACAAAGGAAAGAATGCACAAGGTAGAAGTGAGTGTTACTATTAACTGTATCAAGTCTGTCAGACATTTAAATTAGATTGATGTGGGATACACTGATTACACTGACTGTAACAAAAAGCATCTTCTAGCATCAGACTAATTCAGTTAGCTCATAATTTTCAACAAGGAACGCTTCAGTCCAAGTTCTGTAAACCCAAAACACTCTGAAGATATGCAAAAGGTGCAGATATCACCTTATTTTCTAAAACCAATCAATCCTCACCCCTAGGTTCATTGGTTCCTTTTGCCACACTTTTCCCCTTCTCTTTTGTTTTCAACACTTTCCTTAAGAAAGAGAGCCAGGCCTTGAAACCTTTCAGATGAAGTGATGTTTACAAAAAGACATCTAATGTTTTTGTGTTTTCCTCCTTCGCAAGCAGGCAATGTTCTCTTACAGCAACAACAACAACAAAAAAGTGTCTGTGTTTTTTTGGAATTAAACAACATAAGGCAATTAAATACTGAGAAGCAGTCACGTGTATGATGAACATGAACCTTCCCATTGGTAGTGTGGAAGAGCTGAACTTGATCTGATTTGTAACCCCCTGTCCCAGGCCAGGCCTGAGGATGTTCATCTCTTGTAGTAACAAAGCAAACAGTTCTTGCCTGCACAGGTAGCATCTTGCCCAGGTACTCTTAGGTGGAAGGAAGATGCTAAGCAGCTGCTTGCTAAACTGAAGGCCATGAAAAATCATTTGGCTCTTCATAATAACATCAAACCTAATTCATAGGTTTTTGGCCCCCAAATTCCAAATTGTACATCAGTCTGTTTTTGAAAGTTTACGTTTAACATGCCTAGGGGGTTCCCAAGTATCACTATCATCTGTTTCTTCCTCATCCTCCTGATCATCCAGCATTTCATCTTCCTCCTCATTCTCATCAAACAGCTCTATTCCAAGTTCTAATCTTCTTTGCCTTTCTGCAAACCATTCTCTGACCTGCTCATATCCCATGTGAGATTTGGCTACCAGTTCATCAAGGTCTTGCTCATTAAGGAATTTGTGCTTCATATAATAGTCCTTCAGGATTGCTGTTCCAGTTTTAAATTTTATGACAGATACACCTCTGTCCCAGCAATTTAACCTCTTGCTTCCCCGAGGCCTCCCCCGAGGTCTCCCTCTCCCCCTCCCTTTTGGTCTTCCTCTCCCTCTCTTCCTTGAAAATCCTTGGCCGTTCAGACTGTTTGCACTGGCACTCTGGTAATAGTAATACCATTTCAATCCACCATTTTTCCAGGCATAGCGAGTATCTCCAAACCAGCTCACAATTTCTGATCTTGGAAGCCCAGTTTCTTCTGCCAGCTTGTTGTATTCTTGTGGAGATGGCCACTGAGTACGGACAAAGGAACTTTTGAGCATGTGCAACTGCTCTGGTGATTTTTTGCCTATTTTGCTTGAAGTAGAACACCCTGATTTTGTTCCTGCTGCTCCATCTCCCACAGATGTTTCTCCAGACTCCTCTTTGGAGCTGCCAGCATTGCTTTCATTCATGTCAGCTCCCTCTTCCTTCAAGACATTTGATTTCCTTTTTTCTATAAACCAGGCATCAATCTCTCTCCTGGTCAGTTTTGTTTGGGCTCTTAATCTATTCATCTCTTCCTCAGTAAGGACAGGGTTATTAAGAAAACTTGCTTGGAGGACTTGCAGCTGTTCAGAAGTCTTCTCTTTGAATTTCTGTGGGGTGAAATCGGGAAAAGTACCCCAAGATGGCTTGCTCTGTGGAGTGACTCCTGTTGGAGATTCATTCATTTCATCACTTGAATCAATAACAATGGTGGCACATGAATCACTGTTGAGATGAATCCCATGATTATTCTTTGAGTTTCTCTGATTGTAGCGTGTATCACTGAACCACTTTTTGATCTCTCCTTTAGTGAGGCCTGTTATTTTCATAAGTCTAACAATTTCTGAGTCTTGAGGAAACTGGTTTTTAAGGTAGCTGACTTTCAATTCTGCCAGTTGTTCCTTAGTTTTTTTTGCTCGGATGCCAAAGGAGTCAGGATTCATCAGTGTGGATTCATTTTTGATAGGCTGAGGGGCTGGAATGGCAGCTACTTGTTTGGTTTCTGCAGTAGGCTGAGCACTGTGAATCTGACTCTTCTGTAACTGTGTTTGGTTTGGGACTCCTGCTACAGTCAAAGCTATTGGGGCTGTTACTGGTAATGTATTTGTACCTGCAACTTGAGTGAGAACAAGTCCTGGCTGACCAACTATTTGGCATGTCTGTAAAATTGAAGGTAAACCATTGCTAGAGGCCGAAATGTGTGCCGGAATAACGGTAATTGTCTGTGGCACAGTATGCACTGTGCCATTAAATTGTTTCCTCCTTGCTTCCTCCACCTCCTCTGGCGTCCAGCTCACTCCGTGTTTCAGACGCTGGGCAGAAAACCATATTTTAATCTGTTCTTCTGTGTACTTAGCTTGAGAGGAGAGAACAGTGATTTCCGACATGGTTGGGTATGGGAATTTGTTGTAGGTGTTAAGCAAAAGAGGATTGTTATCCAAAGCAGTGTTATAGGCTGGAATGCTATTTACAGGTATTAGTACTTTTGGAATCAGGTTTGAGTTCTGGGGAGCTGTAACAGCTGTTATAACCTGTGCCACCCCAGGCTGAAGCACTGGTGCCGGGGTCACTACTGCCCCGGCCACATCTGCTGCACTGCACACAACTGAATGGCTTGGTTTTGATTCAGAAACTGCCGGTGGGGGGTTTTCTACTACTTCAGGGTCTGGCTCATTTTCAGTTCCCTTTTCTTCACCAGGAATGTCATCAACTGTATTGTGGAAAACAGCAATACGTTTAGCCTCGGGTTTGCTTTTCATCATTTTCATGATAGGAGTTTTGCTAATAGAGATCCCTGATGAGGGGACCTCAGAAGAGTCAGCCTGTCCAGCATTTTCTTCTCTAACAAAACTCCCATCAAAAGTGAGATCATTTACTGTCTGTTCAAAGATTGTCTGGTTATTACGTTTCACCATAGTCAATTTAAAATTCTCCTCTCCAGGATGGTGCTTCAAATTATGTTCTGAGAGGGCATCATATCTTTTGGTAAGGAAATTACATTCTAAACAAACGTAGGATGAATTTAATACTACATTGGGGTGTTCTGAATCCACATGAAAAGTAAACATATTGAGATCTGGAGTCTGAAAAGTGCAGTATTTACACTCATAACCACCTTCTACTTTATTTGTGCTTTTCTTATTGTCTGAATCCACACACTCATGAACATCTTCATCACTTGTTACACCCTCTGCTGTAGGGTTATCTGCTGGTGTGAGCACAGGTGGTCCTTCCTCCAAGTCTGACACCATTTCTAGATCTGGATCCTGCTCATTGGCTAAGACCATGCAGGGTGTTGTTGATTTTCGTTTACTTGCCATGACTGTTACTGTGAAATGATAACAACTGATCAGATATAGACTTAGCTTCAAGCTCTTCTTGATTAATAATAGTAATAATAAAATAATAATAATAATGGCTTTCGGTACTTCAAGTCAGTTCTTGTAAAGTCTCAACATTTATCCCATTAGCAGCTTTTCTTTCGTAGTGCAATCAGACTAAAAATAGTTGAGGATGAGATGTTGAGACACAGTTTAAAAGTCCACATCCACCACCTGTAGTAAAGAAGAGACAGTGGAATTAGTTTAATTTAAATAATAATTTCTATTTTGCTATGCATTACAGTTTAAGATAATTCAGCCCTTTGGGGTTTAGTGTGCCACTGCTCATCCCCTGAAACCAGCAGACCAATTAAAAGAAGAGATAACTGAAGCTATGATAAGAAAGGCAAAATCCAATCCACTTATTACAGGCTGAAATTTGTTTCAGTTCATGTTAATACAGTGACAGACCTAAACAACAGAACGGTGTAAAACAGGTAACTTCCTGACTGTTTCCCTTGCTTCAGAAGCCTTTTTCTTAGCCACAGTGCTGAGGTCAGTCTTGCTCTTGGACTGTTTTGCCTAAGCTACGACAATGTCTCTTGACTGTTCTATGAGCTCAAGTCCTTCATATCACTAACTTGAGCCCAGTACCACATCTCCACTACTGGCTCTGTCATGTCTTTCACGTCAGAGGCTGCGAAGTGTCCCAGAAAAGGTAGGTTTAGAGTATTTTTCTATTGCATTATACATGCAAGCACAATCATGTTCCAGGCCTTTCTTCCATGTCTGAAAACAGGCAAAACAATGTATTTTTAAGGTATTCTGACAGATGAAAGACAACTATCCTTTCTCCTAGGTTACCAAATGTCATTTTCCAACTGAAGACCAATCCCAAACCAATAAAAGTGATTGCCAGCATGTGGCAATTAACTAAAATATGTTTTCATGCCTCTATGCATTAACAGAGACATGACTGATTGTGTAAGCTGTAACAGAGAGAGAAAAAGCATTAAAGACTAATATCCCCAAGCAGAAGCCTTAGCTTCACATTTTTTCTTTAGGCAAAAGACAAAAGTGTTCATCCATAGTTGCTACCCAGTGCTGCTCTATAAGCTCTGTTTTTGAAACTGTGTGTCACCTTACTGCTTCACAAATATCCTCCTTAAATGTTTTTAACAGTCACCCTCTACACTACATCTGTGACTACATCCAAAGTGCAGAGCCTCACATGATATGCTTTTTATGCCAAGGATATGGTTACATGGCATTAAGGACACTGAAAATGCTCAATAAATCTTGGGTAATCATCATTCCAGGATGACAATTATTTAATGGTACTGGAGTAGAAAGATATCCTTCTTCCACAAGTTAATAGTGGCAGTCTGTAAAACTGAGCACAGAATTGCAAGAGATATTTATTTTCATGAATATACAAAGTACCTATTGCAGGCCACCTCATTTCTCTTTGCAGTGAGAGAACCACGAAGCAAAGCTAAACAGATCCATTTGTCTCAATGTCTCAAGGGACAAGAGGTAGAACATTATTAACTGTGCTGCTTCTCTTTGGGACTAGAGGGCTCTTGACAAAAGAGAACACAACTGCCAAGACAACGTTGAGCAATGGTCTGGGGGAAGAGCTGGGTGGTATTACCTAATGTTTCTGCAATTTTGAGTAAGATTTCAGAAATGCCCATTTTAAAAAGCAACTTAACAGCTACTTTTGCTGACTGAAGTTGTGTTTTGAGAAGTGACTGTGGTACTCTGCAGTGCCTTATCCCTAGCACAGCACATAGGATCTATACAAAGGGCAGTCTGAGTGAGCTTAGGTGCCTGCCAAGGGCCCCATTCTGGGATGGCCTGCAGTGCAAGTGAAGGCAACATTTATCTGACATGTAATATTGATGCATGCTGAAGGAAAGCCTGGAGGTAAGGAATAAAATTGGAAACCTGTTCAAGGAATAAATAAATGTTCTTCTCCAGTCTCCTCATGTACCCAAGAGTGTTCACAGTGCCTGTAAGCCAACAGGTCCATGTGCAATTGCAGCACCTGCAGGCTTTTAGCTAAATCTGTATCACGTCTCTGCTGTGTTTCAGTTTTGCTTATGGTGCATAAGCAGATTATTGTGTCCCTCCTCTGTTTACCAAGATAGCAACACTTTTCTTTGATGCAAACAGGTCTCAGAAAAAGAAAGCTGCATCTCTGTTCTTCTGACTACACTGTGTCATTTTTTTTTTTTTTTTTCCTTAAAGGAAGTTGTGATGTCAAAACCCTGTTTAAGTCATGGCTATGAAGAGCTATAATAGCATTCAGCAAAATCTCAAGAAATTGAGATGCCTGCAACCCTTCCCAGCCTCTCCACAGACTTTACAGAAATCTCCATTCCCTCCTCCCTGGAGCTAATATGATTATTTCACCTGTAGCACCCTGCTTGACATGTTCTCTCAAATTAATAGGGGATTATGAAAACTCACAGTTGTGCAGTTTATCCAACCAATTATGCATCATCCTTGGAACCTTCATTTCCTCTAAAATACCTCTCCTGTTCTGCTTACAGGAGTGTGTGGGACCTTGCCACATAGCTGGACTTCAGTAAGGTCTGCACTATTCTACACCATGACTCCAAAACAATGAAGTAACAGTGTGGTTTTTGTCAAATCCACCTTTCTAGGAATCTTGTTACAATTCTCGAGGTTCTTACAGACTGTTTTTTAGTATCCTCCTGTATTGGGCTGGGAATGAAGATCCCTTTAACTGACCTGAGATTCACAATGTGTTCTCCTCCTCTGCTCAACCATTTCCCTTGGTTAAGACTGGGCAGTCTTGTGCCCAGTCTTGTGCTTGCCTCTAGGCCACTGAGACCTTCCTCATATTCCATGAATTCCTAAAGGTTATTACTCATGGTTCAGAGAATGCTTTTGCTTGTCCCTTATATACCATAAAGTCAAATATATGACAAAATATTGTGAAAAATTTTCTCTTTTTATCCCTCCTTGTGAATATTGACATTGTATTGTGTAATTTGGTTTGCAACAAAACAGACATCTGGATTATTTAATGTCAAAAGCAGCATTTTAAAATAAAGGAATCTGAAGAAAAATTTTATTTACACTGCATCCCCTTCTGTAATTTCACCTCAGATTTTCACAGAATTGACATTCCTAGCAAATCAGCCCACAAAACAGATGTTTTTCTAGGAACATAAAACAGCAAGTCCAGGCATACTTTTTGAAAGTCCAGAATCTGGTATTTTATCTTTCAGCGGGATTTCTCAGGACACTGTTCTTCAGAAACATGAACAATCAGCAATCCCAATTAATAATTAATTATATTAAGATAGATTCATTCCAGAGTAGAATTCAACATTTAAAGTTGTCTTTATAGCAGATTTTTATGATGACTGATATAAATATTTTTTAAATGGAGGCAGAAGCCTTCTGCCCATTTGATTAAAGTTTGAGAAGGAAAAGACATAGAGTTGACCACAGAAGACACACGTGAAAGAACCTGATTCCAGAAAAAATTTTTTACTCACTTCCTCCTTCCCACCCCCAAACAGGAGTACCTGATGCAGCAAGAAAAATAAATGAGTTTATATAAAATTTTCTCTGTCTGTTCAGGGTGTATGCTTTCTGAAAAGGCATTGTTCCTTGTCTGCTGCTATGACACTTCCATCCAGTGTGCAGGAAAAGCATGTCAAAAAAAAAAATCAAGCCCCATGTAATGTGATTTTAAGAATATGCAGAGAGAAGTTCAGGAGAAAATAGAAGCAATAGAACCTTCTTCTAATTTTTAAATCCACCTGGATTACAAATTGCCTACCACTTCACACAGAAAATGCTGCCTTCTTATAACCCATGACAATATCCAGTTGTTGATCTTTTGTTTAGCCTCCTTCTACTACCCTTTATTCAGAGTAGATGTATCTATGTCAGAAACTATTCTGCAGAGCTCAGTGTAGGCTAATACACTCTGATGTGTGCTGCCTCTCAGTGAGAAGGGTGACTTTGTTGCAGCACTATTTTCTTCACTTGCTCCGTATCTGCAAAGTTCAGAGAGCCTTACTGCTTATGACTCCAAAATAAACCACATCTCTGTTAATGCTGCAATATTTACATTCAATTCATCTTTTAAAATAATGTCTGGTACTAATCCAACATAGGAGTGAAACTTACCAAAATTATTCCAGCAGAAGTCCTTATGTATTACAAAGATAAGGCCCACTTGGGGCTCTTGCTGCGTTAGACTGGAAATGAGGGAGGCAAGCACCAAAAGCCACTGTAGTGCCCACGCAGAGCTCCAGGCTGTGCCAAAGCCAGACCCGTGATGGAGCACTGGAGCTCTGACACACAGCCCAGCAGAGGCTGAAGGGAGCCTGCCACAGGACATGTGACTGGACTTTCCCAGTTACTTCCTCTCAGTGCTGGTTTTAACAAGCAGTTCCATCAAAGTAAAGGTCAGAATTTCACGCCAGAAGTGACTGCTAAATGACCGACATTATCTTTCTGTATTGCACCACCTATGCCAGGTACCTCTGTGAGCACAGTAACTTCTGCCCCTGCTTTTGATACAGAAAGCCATAACCAGGTTATGACCATATAAAGCTAATGACCAAACATCTTGCGTACTTAAAAACCAGGGGTACACTGACCAAGAGGCCCTTTAGCATGGATGGTGCATGTCTCTGCTCCTCAGTCACACAGACAGGTATTTTCTATGAGATACGGACACCTTGGCAGCTACACTCATATAGGCAGACCTTTATTTTATTGACTCTGAAGTCTCCTATTCAAACTGTGAGCACACACCACTTCTAATGTCAGACATCTCTACATGACTATTTTTGAAAGTGAGTATCAGACTTGTGTAAATGCTTATCATACCCAATAAAATGGCAGCAGAGTCAGGGAATTTTTTTTTTCTTTGCATAGCTACAGCTCTATTTTTTTTTTTAATTGCTGAGCTTTTACATACAAAACAGAAAGGATGAAGAAATAAATTACTGACATGAAGACAAATTTTAATGTGTTCTGCATTGAATAAACATTTAATTCAACCCTCTATATGTTTCATGCTGGCTTCAAAAAATGTAGAACAGTGAGAAATTATTAATTTTATAAACTGTTTATCAAAAAAGTTTCTCTGTAAAACACCAAAACAAAAGGTTTTATTATCATGGGATTTCCTTCTTTAAAATGAAACAGTCTGGCACATATGATTTCACAAAATGCTCCATTCAACTTCATTCTGCTTTTTTCTTTCTTTCCAGATGAAAAATTTCTAGAGCCATTCCTTTTCCCAGGCCCTAGTCTAGTGCTGCACTCGTACAAGACCTTCCTTTGACTTCCTGGAGTTCATGTCCCCTGACACCCCTCAGCTCCCCCAGAGACCCAAGCTGCAGTCCTACAGATGGTCTCCAGACAGCCCAGCTCATTCCCGAGTCATCGCTGGTGCTGAGCAGGAACCCTCGCGATTTTGAGGTGACACAGCCCAGCACAGATTGTCTCGCTCTCCTCTCCCCCTCCTCCACTGATTCCAACAAACTGTACAAGCCCTCATCACACTGGAAACCAGATTTCACATTGGCTGCTTTCTGCTTTCATTAATTTTTGGCTGTTACCACTCAAAATGGTACTTCTCACCAGCAAATAAGAGTATTAGTAGCACTCTACCCTTAAAAAGTAGGACTGGGTCTCAGGGCTTACAGCTCCCAATGCTTTTGTACCTTCTGCTAGGTCCGTGGCATTTGCAGAAGCCCAAAGAGCAGCAGCAGGTTAAGGACCCTGGTGCATGACAATACAAGAATCTAGACAGAGAGAAGGAGAATCCATTAAATAAAGATGGTGTAAAGCAGTCTGCAGATGTTCACGAGAGGAATAAAAGCATGATCAAGAGCAGGTGATAAAACATCCTGTAAATTCTACCTTGGATACAAAAAGGTAATGATACATTATGACTCATAATTCTGCCTTTTTTTTTTAACAGTGGAATGCATTTCTCAGACCTCAAGGCCAGATCCTTGCCAAATTTCAAGTTCCTATGTCAAATCCCTGAGGCAAAGAGCTGCTCAGAAAAAGAAAGATAATATGGCTTTTACATGACGATTGCCTTTCTTTCTCTCCTTGCTTCCCTCTTAACTCTGTTAATTTTACTCTTGAACCAGCTAATGTTCTCCCAAAACTCAATGAACAGGGAATAAAAGCAGCCTCAATGTGAAAATTTCTCATTTCAACTATCATAAGAAACTGAAAACAGGGACTTGGAGCAAACTGACCAGGTGACACTGATACACACTGCTACATGCTCCACACATGCGTATACCAGAACACGGACCCATAATTTAAATAACTTGTAATGGACCCCAAAATACTTGAAACAAATGTATAAATTCAGTGTTTGTATGAACCAGTGTTTTATGAATGAGGAAAAAGCAAGGACTTGGAATGTTAATTGAAAGTAAAAAGGATCAATTGTTCTGCAGGGACCTACGTAATCCCATGTCAAGGTGAAGACTGCAAGGCACATTCTCAAGGTTTCAACTGCTCTTTAGAATCTCCTCTACCACTTGATCCACTATAAGCTTTTGCTAAAATGTACTTGCTCAGAACCTTTCCTGTGTGCCTTGGATCCACCTGCTTACTTCCTACCCCATGTCCTCCTTAAAGCCGCCCCCAGCCTTGCAGGTCTGCTTCCGTTTTGTGAGAAGGCCAAGGAGTGCAGAGTGCATAAAAAGTCCTTTATGTTCAATAGCACGTGATTTGCATCTCCACTTTGGATGCAAGAAATTTGACTTCAGATCTGGTATTTTACAAGGTCCTTTTTAAGGTGTTCCAGAATGTTTCCAGTATCATACATCAGCTTTACAATTGTAAACTGAATCATATAAGAACAGACACAACAAAGAATTGACCCACTCCCGACTGGCAGACTCCTGCATAGTGAAAAAATGCAGAAGAATTTTATGTTCATGCTTGCAAGCTGATCTTATAGAAGTTCTCCAGGATCTCTACCTGATCTAAACAATGCTGGTCATGGAACAGCATATTCACAAGTCAAAATACAACATATAAATTCCTGTCTCTGTATTCAGAGTACTTGGTCTTAGTGCAAGTATTCTCAGTGCAGCACTAAACTACTGCCAGGAGCAGGGTGAGATTATCAAGCTCACTCAGGCTTGTATTTCCTTGCAAAACCAACACATTCTGTGACTGCTACAAGATGACTTTAGGGGTGTAGTGATGGTGGAGACAGCACTTCAGCACTGGTGAGGAAACCAGGTGCCTGGAGAGTTTGTAAAAATCTGCTTGGGATTTTTAAGGAATTTCCATCCTTGCAAGTCATCAAAACTTGGCAAAACCCTGAACAACTCTACCTACCATCACAGATAACTTTGCTTTGAGCAGGATGCTGAACTAGACGATCTTCAAAAGTTCTTTCCACTCTAATGTTTCTCCTCAGGATTTTGAGGTGTTCGATCATGTAACAAAGAAAAAAGAGGATAGTCCAAGCTGCCTGTATAAACACTCTCTGCAGGTCTCAAATATCTAGTAAAATACCACTGTGTACCAAGTTAACCTTTGTGAAAAGCAAAGCATTTTTATTTGCAACAGTGACGTGACTCCACACCCCTGCTGAGTATTGTACTGTACTCCGTAGATACTCCTGCTGATTTCTGTGGGAGATAATGTCTTATTCTACGTGTGACAATACCAATTCCCTTACTCCCCACCCCATGCCCCCATCATTCATCCACAGAGTGGATAAACATTGTTTACTGCCTACCAGCCCAGTGACAAAAAAAGTAAAAGACAGGGGACTACAGAGGCTTTCAAGTACAACGTGTGGATTGGAAAGATGAATCTGAAGCACAGCCACTGAAGAAGTCTGAGAGGTGACTGTGTACTCAAGTTACCATGGGGTAATGAAGAGTCAGCAGATCAGAACAAGCATCTCGGCCCATGGCACAGGAACAGGAGGTTTGCAGTTACAGCATTTCACAGGCACTGCTGGACCTGGCGCCCGGCAGTCCCACGCTGCTCCCAGCTCACCTGAACAAAGGCCTTCAATGCAGCAGCAAGGAATCAACAAGTCTTTCACCAGGCTGGTTCCCCGTTCCACTGTTTCCCAGGCTAATTCCTTAAACTTTGACTGTGAACCTGACCCCTGACTTGCACTGTGCCCGTCACTGCTCAGAGCCCTGGAGAGGACAATCCCCAGTCTGGGAGCCGGGCTGAGGAAAGCTGGAGCCTGCACCTTCTGCCCTGCTCTGCTGGAGCCGCCTGTCATGTGAGTCTCCCGGAGGAGAAACACGAACCTCCCATGTCCAGTCCTGGCAGGGAAGTAAGAGCGGATCACTGAAAACAGACTGCCCTCTTTCTCTTTGTGTCTCTCAAGCACAATGGTGGAAAATTAGAACAACGTGATTTAAGTGAAAATATGGAATTAAGTAAAACACTGTACTTTAGTAGCCATGGAACTTGCATTAGATTTAAACAGTGTACGAAAAACAGATTAGTTCTGTTTTTAAAAATATAGGTAGCTTAAAACTGCATAAATATCCTAGGGTCAAAATCATACTTTCACTGATTTAAATGAGAATAAGCAGCACAATTTTTAAAGGAATACTGTATGTGTTGGTAAAAACACATGCAAGAGGTAACAGAAAAGCCTAAAATACATTACACAGCACAAAACAGCATGATAGCTGGGGGGAAGGAAGAGAAGAATCAGTATTATGTTTAAAAAACCTATTATTTAGACTGTAAGTTTTAAATAGAAAGATTTTGTTCATTTACATTAATGTTTCAACAACACACTGAACACATTCCCTCATAGGAAAAACACCTATCTTATTTACTGACATTAAACCAGACATACTGCTAAAAAGCACCAATTACTGCTGGAAGTTCTGTTCTAATTGTAAACATCTAAATTTTTACCAATGGAATAAAAAGACTTAAAAAAAAATCAGTATTATAATGGATAGTTTTAATCCAGGTCATTACCTTTTTACTTAACTAAGGTGGAAATTCTCAGTGAAAACACTGACCTACTGGCAGTTAACAACTAACCTTATACACAGGAATTCAGTTTATAGACATCTGCACTGAGTGAAGGTAGAAATTAATTCCTGAATGACAGAAGTTCCTGACTCAGACTTTAAAAAGCAGGACAGCTTTTTTTTCTGTAGAAGATCTCCAATTCAAGCTTAAAGATAAACCCTGCCAGGGCTAAAATCTTAACAGACTTGGATACATCATCATAGAAACAATAACCTTACTATAAGGTGGTATTAAAAAATTATCATAATTTGTGTCACAAATCAGTAGGCTTTAAAGAAAAAAGTCATGTTTAAATACATGTACTGTTAGCTATCCTACATATTTTAATAATACAGATGTTATGCCATTTAGGTGCATTTTAAGTTAAATTTTAATTTCCAAATCAAATTTATTTTAGACATAAATTTAGAAAAACAGGAACTAAGAACTTAATTAATTAATTAATTAATTGAAAAACAAGATATACATAATTGAGTGTTTTCTAGGAAAAGGACAAAAGTAAAAATTAATAATCTGAGTGTATGTTGAGATAAAGTAACAATCCCTGATATTATTTATCCCCTTACAAAAAAACCTCTGCAAACTACCATAATATCAAACAATGAGAATCACTTGCCATTTACAAAAGCTATTGAAAGCATACATTCAACTCAAAATTAGGAGAAATTGTTTATATCAAGGCTCCCTACGTTCAGATTCAATCTATGATCAAATCACCTATTCCCATTATTCCAGGTTCCATATATTAGGACTAGTTTTGAATTAATGCCTTAGTTAAATGATATCTGGGGGAGACAGGGAAATACAAAGACAGGTCAGGAGAGGTAAGATGAACATGTATGGCATCATTTTTAAATCAACCAAATCAGAAGAGCCCAGGATACAACTGGGGTGTGGTACTCAAAGAGAATGTTTATAAGGGTGTCCAAGTTTAGCATAGAAAATAGGCAGGCCTGGAAAGCTCATGGGAATAAGATGCATCTGTTGTTGTAAGCAGCCCCAGAAAAATGTTACTGGTTCACTAGCCTGGGGCAAGCTTTTTCCTTTTTTCCTTCTTTTCCTTTTTTGACAGCCAAGTACAATATTAGCTTGCTTTTTTTTGTCATCGTCAAGCTGAGGCTGCGTGAGATTATTTTGTGTCTAGACTAATAAATGTTTGTAAGGATTTTGCAAGACTGGTTTATGGGAATAGAACCCTCTTTTTGTTTTTCTGCTGGAAAAAGCAGCATTAAAAACAAATGAGCACCATCATGCATTTGTTTTAAATTGCATATTAGAGCACTGCTATTTTGTGTGCAATCAATACATAATTTGGAAGAAAGATGCTTTTAAAATTCAAAGCTATCCCTGAGCAGCTAAGGTTCTCTTGGAAACTGAAGGAGGAGTCTGAAATTATTGTTCTTTTGTTTGCATCCCCCAGTGGGAAAGGCAGCACACAACTAGAAACCACTGTGCTTTGAGGCTACACGAATCATTAAGAATAAGATCAATCCCTCCTCCATTTAAACATTAGATAATAAAACTGAATCTAGGACGAAGGTAAGCTAATCAGACTCCTTTTCAAGCTGTTATTGGGTTAAATATAATATCAAAAGGATTACATAAATCTTGTAACTCTCTCTACAGAAATTTTAAAAAGATATTTATATTTTGCAAAACACAGCCTGCCTAGACTCCAATTACAAGCATCAACTTAACCAGTGGAAATTAGAGAGATATTCATGGACCAAAACCTACATTTTCT